CCTGCATGGGAGAGCGTCCATAGCAATGTCTCCTTGTGCTTCCCTGACCTCAACAGTAAGTTTACTCCATGCTGCAGCAGCAGGCATTGGCAAAGGTAAGAGTATTCCTGTAACTTCTAAAAGTAGGCAGAAAAAGGGTGCAAAATGCATTAGAGCTCAGCCACATAAAAGTTTCGCAGTAGTATGAAACAGGGAGAGCTGGGTTTGGAGCAGTGGGAGAGAAGCCATGTATGAGGAAGGGACATGAAATGCAAAGGTGAAGTCAGAGATTGACTCTGGTGGTGGGGGAAAGGGGCAGCTGAAGTTTTTAAGTGTAGATGCTTCATGCATAGAAGGTTGAATTTTGACTAAAATTTCACACTTAACTTGGAAGAATTCCAGAAGTAGAATGGGGTCAAAACCTACAAGATTTGGTGGTTTGGGGTTTTAAAAATTTTTTCTTTATGTTATTTTGGATGTTCAGTTCTGCATCCTGGTTTTTGCACTTTTGGGATCAGTTTACATTGTGATACACAGCCTGAATTTCTCAAGCAAAGAATAGTTTTGACAAATACCAGTGCCTTCTTGCTAGAGAAAACAACACATTCTACTACTGAAATGATAAGAATAATAAAATATGGGATACATGGTCAGTGCCATGTGCCACCTAAGGAGTATGCGTCGAGCCTGGAAGCCTGGCAAGTGTTTGCCAAAGAAAAGCAAAAGATCTACAAGAACTTCTCAAGTGCCAGCAAAGGACTGCAGGCTGGACCTGTTAATGCTGTAAAGCTTTTTTCTTTGATGAACAGTGGTATTTCTCAAGACCTGCAAATTCCACTATGAGCTCTGAACACTTGTAAAATTATCTTGTCAAAGAACAGAGTCTGAACCCACCATTTTCTGGGTTCCTCTATGTTAGTACCTTCCTCAGTTTTTTAGCATTGGCCTCTCTCCACCTGTTCCATATTTAGGCTGGAGGACACTTAGCAGTATCATGCATTCTACTAAATCAGCTTCAGAAAAAGAAATATGACGGTAACTCTAGGGGGACTCAGTCTTCCAGATATGCTGTTAGATTTATCAACACCATTCTTATACTAACAAGTGCCTGAGATTAAATCAAGTAATAGCATTTATTTTTAATATGACTATATTGCAGGAAATTAATCAATTTCCTGCTCTGACTTTACCAGGTAGTGGATTACCAACATTTCCCCCATTTGTTCTGGTTGGTACTGTTTTCTGATAGTTGCCTCTGGATAGCAGACCCTTCCACATGCAATCCAAGCCCATATCAGCTTATGACCTCTGTTACATCACATTTAGTGAAAGGGACTTCTGTAAAAATCTTTCTTAGCATTGGTGAGACCGCATCTGGAATATTGTGTCCAGTTCTGGGCCCCTCAGTTCAAGAAGGACAGGGAGCTGCTGGAGAGAGTCCAGCGTAGGGCTACAAAGATGATTAGGGGAGTGGAGCATCTCCCTTATGAGGAAAGGCTGAGGGAGCTGGGTCTCTTTAGCCTGGAGAAAAGGAGACTGAGGGGTGATCTCATCAATGTTTACAAATATGTAAAGGGTGAGTGTCAGGAAGATGGGATTAAGCTTTTTTCAGTGATGACCTATGATAGGACAAGGGGTAATGGGTGCAAATTGGAGCATAAGAGGTTCAAGATGAATATCAGAAAAAATTTTTTCACTGTGAGGGTGACGGAGCGCTGGAACAGGCTGCCCAGAGAGGTTGTGGAGTCTCCTTCACTGGAGTCATTCAAAACCCACCTGGACGCCTTCCTGTGTGATGTACTCTAGGTGACCCTGCTCTGGCAGGGGGGTTGGACTAGATGATCTTTCGAGGTCCCTTCCAACCCCTATGATTCTATGATTCTATGATTGCAGCTTCCCAAAACAACCTCTGCTGTAATAAATTTTATAAAAGTTCTTACAAAGATAAATTTAACTAAGAAAATATAATGAAAATTGTCTCCCCACCTTACACATTTTGGGTTCATGGCAAACTCTTATAACTTTGCCCATGCACACATACTTATCGCAGAAAAAAGTAAAAATACCATCTTCTGAAGAAGGCATAGTTCCAACACTAGTTTAACTGCAGAGGCCCCAGTAGCTTCACATACCTCCAAAAGGTGATGATGCTGGAGTCCAGGGTTTTTTAACTCATTATAGCTAAGGTCTTAATTGTAGTCCTACCGACTCAGGCCTATACAGCCCTATAACCACAGCCCTAATTGTACTGGTCTTTTGTAACAAGGCCTGCACATATGATGTCACAGAACTGGCAGTCACCTCATGGACTATGAAAATACAAAAGAAAAAGGGACACGTCTTAAAAATCACTTCCTTGTATCTCTGATGCACTCCATGAAAAAAATTGTCCCAGATCTAAAATTATTCCATATCTTTATTAATGGACTGGATGACACAACTGAATATGCTAATCAAATTTGCAGGCAATACTAAACTGGGAGAGATTGGTTTGGAACTCAGCTTCAGAAATCTGTGAGAAGGGACTGGAAAAAGCAGAATACAATTCCAAAAGCGTTAAGTGCAGTTTTCTCTGATAACACTAATTGCAAGTCAGAGAATCACAAAATGGAGCTAGAAACTGCAGGAAAAGATCTAGTGTCTATGACAACCCACAAGCTAGCAATGAGTCAGAGTTATTCTACTGCAAAAAGGAGCCTTTAGTAGGCTGTATAAATAGAACCAACCCTTCTCTTCAAGGAATGTGAAGTATTTTATGGGGCTGCTAGTGTCACAGCTGAGCACAGCAGAGTTTTGCCTGGCATCCACATGGAGTCCAGGAACAGATAAGCAGTGCTCTAGAAGACATGGCCATTGAGGATGAGCTAACTGACTGACAGGTATGTTTAATCCAAAGCACCGCTCCTCGCTGTGGAGGAGAGGGCTAGCATGCCTGGGACACCCTGTTTGGCCCAGGGTCCACACCATGGCTGCAGGAGTGGATAGGCAGAGCCTGGGCGGAGGCAGCACAACCCAGCAAAGGGAACAGCCTAACTCGTGGAGGCAGGTGTAGAAATCAGTGGCAAGGTTTATCCCAGACTGAGGCAGAGACCTACTCATTTAGAGTAGTGATGGGAGATAAGGGTGATACCCTGAGCCTAAGTGTACCCTGCCAACTACCTTCATCACCAGAGGTCTTAAAGCACACTTACCAGCTTGAGGCTTGGAACTAGAATGATAGGTGAGCACACGCTTCAAGGAATCTTTTATTTGCTATTATTTTTTTTCTCAATGCTACCCGGCCAGTTTAGAATCGTGTTTTTCAGCTCCTTTTTGGATTGTTACAAAGTCCTCAAACTGCTCTCATGGATCTAAGCAGCACTTCAAAAGAAACAGTTCCGATTTTAATACGTCGCAGCTCATTATCACCTTTCACTTCTGTGCTAACAGGCAGGTTTCATACTATGCAACAGCGCTAACAAAAAAGCAGAACGTTCATCTTTCTCCATAGGTAAATTTAGGAGACATGCTTCATAAAAGCTACAGAATTTCTCCGGTAGCACTCGAGTGCTTTGTAATCTGATCCAACAGAACGAGGCAAGCCTAATCTAAACCAGCTACTGTAGTTTATAATGGCCAAATCGCATTTGTCAGTTTAGGATTACACTTTGTTCCTAGAAAACCCATTACAATTTTGTTCGTTGTTCAAATACCTTCTGCTTTTTCCTTTTTAAAATTGTAATAATAATAATACACTAGTGTTCCCCAATGTTGGTTTGCCCATTGCTCTCTGTGACTTCACAAAATCGTCATTCCCGCCAGGAGTGCTGAGGTTTACATTATCTTCTACACAAACTGGAAAGTTTGCATATAGCAAGCATCCCTTTCCCTGCCCTCTATCATGAATCCTGTGTCTTGATCTCAACTTTAGTGACTTCATGGTTATAAGTCCTCTCCTTCCTAGCTATACTGAGCTTAAAAGAGCTTTTATGAATGTATCATTTAAAGCTTGTGGCAAATTGTTGCCTCTTTCATTTGTTCTGAGGGATTTGGTTGAGCATTTCCCATATTATTCCTTTCTTTCCATAATTTCTGCATGAAGTCACTACAGACAGTCCCAACTTCTATACCATCCCCTCAGAGAGATGAAATACATCACGCTCGGCACTTGCTTCTGCAGGAGGTTCTTCTACCTTTCTTTTCCAGCTCTGACTTCTGGTACCGCTCTACTATTTTTAGCACCCACTGTCTTTTACCTGCAGCACACAATAGCAGTATTACATTTTTCTTCAGTGAGATAGGGAAAAAAGACATACATACATTTATACATATTTATTGTATCTTTAAAAGTAGCATTTGCAGTTACTTTTAAGCATTCACCTCTCTTCTGCTTCAAATGTGCACTTACTGAGAGAAACATCTACTGGCTTCCAAGTCCAAGATTAATACCAATAATAACACATGCCGGAATCAAGCTTCACTGCTTGCTGGCAGCTCCTGTCATGAAAACACTATACAGTAAGAAGAGCGTAGAAAAGGTCTGTGTTAATCACTCAGGAGCAGGCTGAGGCTGGGTACGTGTGGCCACACCATCTCCTCGAGCCGAGGCACGCCGCCGCGCTCCTGGAAACCGAAGCTGACATAGTAGCTTTTATCCTTTTGCATCCAGTAGGTGGACAAGGCAGTTGTTTTTTTTTCTACAGTAGCTTCTCTAGTCGATAAGATTTCCTCATCTTCTACAGGAAACACTTGCTGTGGACCTTTGTATTTAGAAATGTCTTCTCTCTTCACGTAACAGCAAGAAAATACTGGAAGCCTGCCATGTAGTTAAGAGAACTGGAAACAAACTAAATTTCATCCTCGGATAAACATACGTAGCTACTATAGATTTCAATCTAACCCACACACAAAGTTTTACACATACTACAAAGAGAAACAGAAGATATCAGCAAAAGACTATTCTTACATTATTTCAAATTAATTTGCAACTATACAATTTTAACTGTAATAGAAAAAGGGAAAGGAACATAACAGAACAGGTATGAAGAGAAGTATTTTCCAAACTTTTATTTGTGCACATTCATCAGGTGAAAAAGATAACCTTTACAGCTTCTTTGGTGCCCAATATTCAGCATACAAAAATGTAAAAGACTATTCACAAAAAAACCCACAAGCTCAAACTAAAAAAAAAAAAGTTTTAAAGGTAGTGCACATCGTGACAGCTTTATGAATACACAGAAATTACTGCAAAAATAAATAGAATGTCTTTTTAAAAGCAGCAATTTCCTATCTTGTAAACTTCCGTTTTTACAATACAGCACTGTTAAAGAGTAAAATCCAAAAGAACTGGAGTCTACACTGCAGCCATGAGCAAGTAAAAGAGTCTTTATTCATCTGCTATGGTTGGTCCAGTTTTCCTTTTTGCCTTTAGTCCAATGTGCAGCAGTCTTTAAAGGTGCTTGGTTAGGGAACCTAACCATCAAGTGGTGAATTATAAAATTTATTTTCTGCTTTCAAACACGAATGGGTAAATCTGTTCCACAGCACTGGCAACAGCCTTTACGTTTGGCCCTGAGACATATTAAAAAAAAAAAAAAAAAAAGTAGTTGGAAGAGAAAATTTAGGGCATCAGAAATCAAAACAATAGTATCTTTAAAATCACCTTAATACTTTTAGCTACCACAACTTTATAGTGTACACAAAAATAACTTCTCCCCCATTTCTCCCAGTGTAAAAAGCTGTTCCTCTGACCACTTTTATTTGCTTAGAGAGTCAGCCCAGAGAAGGCAGAACCTGAGTGGCAGAGGTAAAAGAAATACTTTTGCTAATCTTCTCAGAATCTGTATTGCCCAAAGCCCAGCCACTTCTATCTCTTCTTTTAAAAACCTACCAACAAAAACTACTGCTAAATAATGCTGGATTTAACCCAAGTATGCTGCAAGCAAGTTTATTTATGTTTGAAAATCACAGACTACTACTTCCTATTCTGAACTTTGCAAATAGCTCCTCCATTGATCTCAGGAGAAAACCCGAAAGCCAGAGAATGGTTATTGTCTCAGGATAAAGTATCTGAAGGTTATCTAACAGGATCTATGAGCATTTGAGGAAAGAAAAGGAATAATGAGCTAGCAATGCTTCTAATGGTACTAGACCATTTTATGCAATGAACAATTAAGCCTGCAAACAAGTGAGCAGTAGCACGCCTGAAGAAATTCATCCTGTATACATGTTTGGGGACACAGGTAAATGAAAAGAGCAATTTCTCATGTGCTTTTTCCCTAAAATCATAGACAGTTTAAGCTATAAATTACTTTGAGTAATTATGGAGATGCTGTTTTAATTTACACAGTCAGAAAGAAAATGGAATGGAATAGGATTCTTCCTGCCAAGTTGACTTGAGCTTTAGTCTAAAACAAGCCCAGTGAAAGATACCCGCTGCTCCTGGTGAAAGATCTCATGGGCAGATACTGCACCTTCCTTAAATTTGTCTACTATTATAGAAATGCAAGTTCTAGAGCAAGGCTTCAGAAAGCAAGAGTATGAGTAGGCAAATAATTCTTGCAAAAAAATGCTACTTCCAGTAGGGCTGAAGATATGTAAATACTCAATTGTCACTGCAGGGACTTTTAAGAGAAGAAAACCAAACCAAACCCCCAAACAATCCCCTCATCGGGCAGAAGAACCATTAATACTTTTTCCTATTACATTTCAGGTTTTCTTATTTTCTTCTCAGTGTAACTCTAAATCTTTTTATACTTGTCCCATTCAAAAAAGAAAATCTTCTGGTTTTTATAACATTGCTAGTTATATATCTCAAAATTCTTTTAAGTACCGGTACTACAAAAACATGAATGCTCAAAAGGAACCTCGTCTGAATTCACCTGACAGGAAGCACAGTAGGTCTGAAAAGTAATTTAAAACCTTTTTAGAACAAGAACCATTAAGATCGTGGAAGTTTTTGCCTTAGAGGAAAGGACAAGGCAAAATAGAAGCCTGCAAAGCCAACAGAGGTCTTGAGATATTTCAAAATCACTGTAACAAGTACAACAGTAGGAAGCAAAACTTTGATGTTTACTGTATTTGCCTACATATTTGAAAGGACAATCCTGGAAATATTAAAGTGATTTTTGTTCCATATACAGAGTAATAAGAATCTTACAGAAAGGCTGAATCTCATTTTGGCTATACTGGTTGCTCTGCTTAGAACATATACTGCAATCTCGAAATACTTTTTAGCCCTCGATCTTCAAATTACCAAATCTGATGGAGTTTGTCTTCTTTAAAACACTCGTCTCCCGATAACTTGGTGAGAAATGTTTCCCATAAAGCCTAGGTATTTGTGAAGGAGCTAAGATGTGAAAATAGAAAGCCCTACACAACTTCTGAACCAGTAGCTGAGCTCTAACAACCACAAGACAACATTCCCTCTAACAGTGATATAGCATAATGGTTTTTTTATTCTGTACCTTTTTAACAGGTATTCTCTGAAAAAAAAAAGAAGACTTCTTGTATCCAGAAACTTGCAGTGGACAACCTCACAAGCAAACATTACAAAGAATGGAAAATTAAAATCAGGGAGAGGAAAAAACATGGCATGGCATCTCTAAGACGCAGGACAATCACATCTCTTATTATATGGGGGGAAAAAAAAAAAAAATCACTGATGCTGGCAATTGAGGTGAGCTTTACTGGTCAACTTGAGTTATGAAAAGATGCTATCCTATCCTATATGTTTCCATAAACCTCCAGTTTGGAAACACGTATTCATGAAAGGGCTATTAACCCTAAATGTAGTATAGTTTCCAGCACTATGAAGATGAAAAAGGAAGAAAATGGAAATATTTAAATAAACAACAAATACATGCTCAAGTCCTATCTCACTTTTGTTTTTTATAAAAACAGATTATGTACATTTAATAAAAGTAAGTTTTGAACCTACCAATAATAAGACTTTCTCTACAACTCTTCTGGCACTTTCACTCAAAACCAAACTAGGTGCTAGCACTGGGAAACAAAATCCCTTCAACTTATCTTTTTACTTTTTTAAACATCTCCCTTTCCAAAACCCTGAAGTTAAATATTCCCATCAAGTTAAATATTTATTTTGATATCAAAATACCTGTAACTGTGATACTGCCTGTGGAAAAAATCTGTAAGGTAGCTCTGAGAGTTTTTATTCTGTAACACACGGCAGGATGAAGTTCTGGTTCATAACTAGAAAACAAAATAAAAGGTAAAAAAGATAAGATCTAGAACTGAAAAACAAAAGCTTAATAAGCATAAAATAATCCTTTAAAATCCTACCATACCTCGCATGAGGTCTGTTATTCTTCGTAAATTCTGGCAATCTGATCTCAAAAGGCATGTTGCACACTGCTAAAACATTCACAACTTTAAAATCTGTGAAAATTACCTTTTCAAAAGAGAGGGAAAAAAAAGACATTAGAAATTCAGTTTACACTGGGGCAGGTGTACAGGTTGCAAATAGAAAATGATTAAAAGAATATTAATTAGAATCCTTTTATAAGATTTCAAAATGAAAATCTTGTGACTGACGCACTTCTGACAGGAATCTAAGCAGTACTGTATGGGGTCTGGCTGAGCTGACTTTCCCATGGCAGCCCTCCTGGTGCAGGGCCTTTGTGCTGGGACTTAGGAGGGGGCTGATAACACCCATGTTGTGCCTACCCCTGAGCAGTGCTCGCACAGCACCGAGGCTCTTTCTAACACTCCTCCCTCAGTGGGATGGGGGGCAGGAAGTTGGGGGGAACAGAACCAGACCTGAACTGATCAAAGGGATATTCCATACCATATCACGTCAGCTCAACTATAAAGCTGGTACAAAGGGGTGGAGGTGAAGGGGAGGGGGCTACTCCTTGGTCCTCTGGAGTAACTGCTACATGTTTTGGAGCCCTGCTTCCCAGGAAGGGGCCAGACATCACCTGGGGATGGGAAGTAAAGAATAAACCTGAGTTTTTTCTCTTCACTTCCACACATGGCATTGCTTGGCTTTGCTTTCTAATTAAACTGCCTTTGTTTTTACCCACAAGGGGTTTTGTCTCCGTGCTATTTTCCTTTCCTTTTGCTCAGTGGAGGAGGAAGAGGAAAGGAGGAGGGTGACAGAGTGGCTTGGTGGGTGTCTGGTGCTCAGCCAGAGTTAATCTACCACAAGTACTTAACAGACTCAAATTGCTTCCTTCATCCTTCTGTGGTACAGCGACTGTTGAAGCAGACACTTCACAGTTCCATTCTAGGGTTATAGTACACTTTAAGAATGAGGCAGAGAAACAACTTGTATTGCTGTACCAAACACTTCCAAATTGAAAATAAAATAAATAGTTCATGGAACATCAAAGTAAGCAGAGAAAAACCTTAAATTTCATTGTTACAAGAATCTCAACGCAATTTGAGAACCTAATACCTTGTTTAGTTTTAATAAAGGTATTATAAAGCAACATGAAAGAAAAGGTGAAAAAAGGTGAAAATTGTTTTGTTTCACATCTCCAGCAGCCAGTACAGCAAGCTGTTTTTCTACTCCATTACTTTCTGAAACCCAGCTTGAACTACTGGATTTCAGTTGTTTACCACAGCCATTTTAGATGACAATAAAATACCCAACAGACTATTCCTAAGCAAACAAATACATTGCTGAGAAGTCAGTGCCAGCAATATCACTGAACAAACTTTTGTTCATTTTCTGAGATTGCCTAAACTTAAAATGATCATTCATCAGTCAAAACTTTTTAGAAGGACACTATCAGTTGAAGCAACTTATCCTTATAAAAGGTATACTATCAATTCAATCTTCAAAATATATTCCATTTAAACTGTTCACTTTATTATAAACTCAACGTATCCGCCCTGGAAGCACTGTTCACCTCCCAATTTAATATTCCACTCCAGTTTCAAGAGGCTGGGTCTAATGTACACATTGGTAACAGTAGGAGTGTCTAACTTCTGCCTGGGTGTAATGCAGCAGCACCACGATAGCCTGTCACCACTGTTTCTCCTCACCACTACACTACAGCCAAAGGACAGCCACTGTGTCTATTTAAGTGTCTGTCCATAAACTGAAACTACTGATAGACAGCACAACTGAATATCAGAAGTTTTAGAGTACTAAAACATGTCCTTTTAAGTCATTCATGCTGTTGTTTTTCGACCTTTACTATGAAATGCAGATAGTGTTTTTGACTGGTAATGTTAACCCAGACCCAAGGTTTCACGTCCTAAGTATTTAACTTGGCTTACTTCCTGCTGTGCAACCTGACAGTGCAGAAACACATTTTTTTCTTCTCTTTAACTAAGGAAGCTCAAACTTACCCTTTCACAAGGATGGACACGTATCTGCTATTCCACCAGAAACGAGGGAAAATCATGTTCTAATGACAGTTAGGTTTATACTCTTCTGCGTTCCTTCCAAATAAATCTTTCAAGATATTGTAAATTCTATCCAAGAAACACTTGTGGGTGGTTTATTTATTAAACAAATTTTGTTGTTCATTAGCCAGCGAAGAAGCACTACTTTGAGCTGCCAAACGAAACTCAAATACACAAAACAGTTCCTCCTTAACCAGCATCTGGAAAACGTGTGCTGACACATAAGGGGCATCCGACTGCAAACATCCTCACTACTAAATTTCTATTCTCTCCCATTTCTGTTTCTTTCAGAAAAATGGACTACCAGCACAGCTTGAATCATACAAGTCTTTTTGAATTACCTGAAAACCTAGTTTCTGTAGACTACGAGCTAATCGTCTGGCACCAAATTTAGCTTCTTCTTCACTATAAAGGAGAAAAAAAAATAATGTAGCATTAACAGAAGTAGAACATGTATTTGTGTGCACACGTAACATGAAAGCTACTCAGACTACAAAACAAACTGTCATATCAAGTAGTGCACAAACCATGATCACATGGACAGCCTCCATTTTATCCTACTGTACATACTACATTTTAACTACCTAGAGATTCAAATGGAGTCCTTTATGCTCTGCTTGAAGAGTATCTTCACACCTGGCTCCAGCTGAAGTGGGAGATACATTTTGATCATACACAATACTAAATACTCTTAGAAGACAAATACGACTACAGGTAGTATGGAGAGAACATCCTGAACAATCACCTTCATTCTGAGACAGAGGTCATATACAGAAAGTATACAAGTCTACTATTGTCCCCTATCCTTACTGCACAATGCAGAAACATCTTAAAGGAATTCAGCTACTAAGAGTTTAGTGAGTCTCAGATGCATCTGATTGCTTTTGGTTCTTTCTACTGCCCCACACTGTATAACTTGATTAAATTCAGGTGGGTTTTCATGAAAGAATAGGAAATACCCCTCAAAAAAGGTCATCCCTTCCCAACGTTCAAGTTCTGTCTAAAAACACAGAATTCTTAAGGAGGTCTCAAATCAAATCTCTAGGATTTTCTTCATGAAGTATATTTCACTGCTGCTCTCCCAGAAGGCTGAACTGATGTTGCTTGAGACTTCAACTCAGTCTCAGGCAGACACTTTACATAGAAAGCTTCCTCCCAAATACACAGCTTGGCACGGATCTACATGTGATCCAGTGTCAGTGAATCTTAACAGTGTTAAGTACTGCTTCTTGCCATCTTCTTCATTTACAATATTATATTTTAAAATAGACAAGAATTTACAGCAAGAGGAGGAATCCTCACGAACATACCTTGTGGCTCCTGTGCAAATAACTTTTCCTGAGGACCAAATTGTGGCTGTAATCCTAGGTTTCCTAAGCTTCATTAATACTTTCTAAAAAGAAAAATACAAGTGAAAGAATTGGGAATTAGTGGTAGTTCAGTTTCATACTGGACAAAAAGAATCAACTGCTACACTAGGAATACTTCCTTTATTTTTGATAGCCTTGAACTGTTCCTTCATCTCTTGCAGTAATTAAAAAAACAAACAAAACAGCTCCTGAGAAGAGCAAAATAAGTGTGGAATATCTCAGCCAGTGATTCAGTTACCACAAAACAAATTAAAGGAAGGTATTTATCTCTGAATAAAAAGATGAAAGCCACGAGCATTGTGCTAACTTTTTTTTCTTATTACAGTGACTCCCACATCTTGACTTCTTATCAGGACATATTTTCTTGACAAAACCATAAAATTCTGGGAGGCAAATACCCAATATTCACCTCACTAGTTGCAGTTTTCTGAGACAGTATTCACCCACTCCCCTTACTCTACATTTAGTGTATGACAAACGAAATGCCTATCAAGCCAGAAATAGAGAAAGAAAACCATGCTTTTCTCTAGACACCATACAGATAGCAGAAACAAGAATATTTAGCTTAAGGAACATTCACAAAGACAGATGATGGAGCAATGTTCAATCTCTTACCCCAACATCACGCTTGTATATCACATTTGCTCCCTCTAATGCGATCTTCCTCAAGTTTAAATGACATCTTGTTCTAAAAACACACACTACGTTTGTGATTAAAATGTCCAATGCAACATCACTGTCTGCATCCATTGGGGTGATTTACAGCTCAGTTTTCCCACAAATTCACCATGAAGATCACATCCTGAGAAACAGAAATGGTAAAGTTAAATATACCAGTAGAAAATTGCCTATTAACACCGCTGTATACGTTTGTCCCTTAAAGAGACAAAAAGCAGAAGTGACTACACTCTGACTCATTTAAGTTAAATGTGTGGGGAGGGGGTGTCTGCATCCTGTAGGCTACAAGACAGGAGGTTACTTATTCAAAGCCATCTTGCCAGACCTAACAGAAATAAAGTGTGTGTGTGTATATATATATATATAAAATATTTAAACTTGTCAGTTAAATATGTTACAACTCTTACCAACTATACTGGGACACTGTAAAGATGACTGGAACCTTTTCCATAGCTCCAGTGGATAATCTTTCCTCAGCGCATTTGAGGATGTCATTAGACACCTCAGGAAAATGCACTTCTCTGACTGCTGAAACTGATAAATCCGAACAGCCTGACATTTGTGTTGGAACGGATGAGCCTGCTGAATAACTCTGAAGGAACACGGGTTACGCACACTGCAGACAGCCTGCTGCCACAACCTTACCACCCAGCGCTCTTGGCCCTTCTCTCCCAACAGAACAGCACAATGTGAATGCCACAGAATGTCCTGGTGGCAGCACGGGCCTGGGCTGACTGGCTGTGGCCTCTCACCCCCTTCTCTCTGCCCGCAGGAGCTGCACAGACTGAGCGCATTGAGCGTGCAGAACCAAGCTGTGTTTCTGAGGAAAGGGGACTTGCTGGGGAGGCGTGGGCTGGCTGCCCAGTGCACCCACACCAGCCCCCAGGCAGCCGGGAGGTGCCCAGCCTGCCCGTGCAGGCTGCAGGTGACACCCCGAACACCCTCGTCTACGCCTCAGCCGGGGCAGGGGGGTCCTAAGAGGGGAGTCTGGCTACAGCTCAGCCCAGCCTGAGACTGACCAACGTCTCTTCTTTAAGCACACCAAAATGAACACAGCGGGCTTCTCCAACAAATCTCAGGTGAAGTACTTGAGGAAAGGAGAGGAGGAACATTGGTATATAGTGAAAAGGACATAACAAAATACTGTAGTCCATTAAGGAATTTTTCTTGGTAGAAGAATGTAAAAATCTTAGTTTCAACTACAGAAGAAGAAGCTTAAGTAGAGCACGGCCTAAAAGATAAAGGCAATATCATCTTGGTCTTAATCTAAAAAATATTAGTAGCATTTCATCCAACATGAACACAACAGAAAGCAGAGGGCAAAAGCAAAGAAAAGTAATCAGATATATGACATGCTCTACATGGTCACTGCCACGGAAGAAGCAGGAGACTGTGCATCAAGAACAGCAATAGACATTACAGACTGTCATGCATTTGTATCGCTTTAAATGTTTTGACCTTACATTCTATAACAGAAATCTTCAAGACAGAAAAGTAATGTTGTTATCAGTATTTTCATCAGACTGTGATTTCCCAAAAATCATGCCACAGTCTCTAATCAAGAATTCACTCAAGCTGCATCTTTTACTACAGCTCAATGACAGTACAGAAGTAATCAACTACAAGGCAGATGTGTGCAAGGTACTGGGTCAAACGCTGTGATGGTTGCTGCTTCTACTGTGAAGCTTGTTCCTGACTGAAAGAATTATTCCGTAATTGTTGGCTTGTCCAATATAAGAATAGGCAAGACGGGTGATAACACAAAAAAAATAGATGAAGAAACAGCAAGAAAAAAAGCAGAAAAGCCAAAGGCTATGCATGGGGGTGGGAGGGAAAGCAGGCAAAGACAAGAACAAACAGGAACTAATTGGTATTCTCAAAGACAAGAACAAACAGTAACTAATTAGTATTCCTGGATGCATTTTTTTTTTTTTAAACCAAAAATTGTATGAATCCTCAAAGTTAGAAATCACTTATCCCATCTGGTTTTGATGGACTACTGCAGATTGGGTTAGCAGCTTATGGCACCAGATCCCAAGATAGCACATGGGCAGATTGTGAATGGCACGCAGGCAGGGCCAGCACAGAGCGAGGAGCTGGAACCCATGGCATCTTCACAGGCATTTGTTTTCCACCCTGGCTCCAACTCCTGGCTCTCACCAAATTCTCCTGCTGGAATCCAGAAATTACTGCTGTAGGAGAAAACAAGATACCTCCAATCAGCAGCATCTCCCAATTATCAGCAAGTTTCTGCTGGCACCCTCCATCTCTACATTCTGAAAGAAGAATAGTGTCGTGTGTAACAGCCTCGAAAGGTTGCTTAACCTCTACCCACACCATAGTGCTGTATGAAATTGTCCCCACAAAACTCTGATGGCTTGTCTTAGATCCAGGGAGAGAAGTCACGTGCTCATTCAGAACAAAGGCAAAAGTGCTTGAAAGAGAGGAAAATTACAATTGAAAAGGAAGAGAATTATCATTAAAGGGTGATCTTCGTGAAAAAAAGAACATTAATATGCTGTGGAGCTGTCACTAAGGGTATTTTCAGCAATTACAGTGTACCTTGGTGAGAAGTACAATCTACTTGCACAGATTTTAATGGGAGAAAAATTACACATTACAGTAGCACGCCTCCATTTCATTAGCCATGTTCTGAAAGTTCAAGACAACAGCTATTTAGGAAGAGGTTTTTTAATCTGAAATTTAATTTGAGCTGTAGCTAGTATTCCAGACTATGCTTTGTGACATTCAGTTAAAAAGGGACGTTATTTGTTACAGAAGCAGTATCTGAACACAGCATAAAAATACTGAAAACTGCTTTTATTCTACTTTAATGTTACTTGATCTAACAGAAGCATCTAATTGTTAAACTTTTCACCCAAAACCGGAGCATTTCATGTATTAATTACCAAATTTTCTCAACTGTATTGAGAAAACTCTCTTCGCTGCTGCTAAACACTACCTGAGTTCTCTGAGAACCTGAATTGAAGTGCCAACAATTGTGAATATACCCGTCCCCATTTAATATGCACATGCAACATTAATCTCTTCCAAGGCATGGTTTAGAAATAGTGGGTAAACCAAAATGTTTCTAGACTTGGACACTTCTGTCCAAGCAGTGAGAGAGCACAACCTATTACAGCCTCTGCCTTCAGCATTCATTTTAACCTCTCACACTGTACCAACAAAAAGAAAACAAAAATCTCTATAGAAAAGACATCCTGCTGTCTTTCTTTAGGAAGTCTCAAAGAAAGCCAAATTCATAGGAGCCATGTGAACAGAAGCAAGCTAAATGTTTAAAAAGTAATGAGTGCACTATGTTAAAAATAACCCAAGGAACATGCTTATAAAAATGGTGTAACTATGTGGAATGGAGAGGAAATTGTTCTTATTTATACATATCTCCAGTAGTGTGATTAGCTGCAACACAGGAGTCCACGTTCTGATGGCTCAACATTCTGGTCCTCCTCTTTCCCAGTTTTCTGTGCTACTGATATGGTGCTGTAGCCCTGCCGCGTGGCCCCGACCCATCACCTTATTTCCCCAAACCTGAATTTCTGCATTTTTGTTTCCTATCTGCAAAATAGCGAAAATAATGCTCCTATGCTTTTACAAATACATTTTGAGATCAGGCAACAGCCTTACATATGTGGCTGTTACTATTCTTTATTTATGCAGCTACACTTGCAGAACAGAAGGACTGAGCAGAAACCAAACATCTGGTTCTTTCCAGTTCTAGATTTGCAAATGCCTAAGTTGATTATATTTGGCTCAGCTTAGGTTTTGCTGATTTTGCCCAAAGGTTCTCTCATCTGAACCTTAGAATTCTGGCAACTTAAATCTAATTTCTAAAAGTATGTTTTGCCAGTCAATGCTAGTTAAATAATAGGCTAAAATTGAAAATAAAATCATTTACTTGTATATGTGTGCACCATTTCTTTTCAATTGTATAATTTGTTCAGCTTTCTCCAGTGCAAGAAATTAACCAACTCTGATTTCAAGTTCTCTTGCACCAGCATAACACACTCTATCCTGACAGGAAAAAAAAAAAAAAAAGAAACAAACCACCAAACCCAAACACCTGCAGAAGTTTGTATTATTTTATCAAGGAAATTTTAAAAGTTTTGTTCTTTCTTTTCAACATAAATTTCAGGGATACATCTGGAATATTACCCTAGGAAGAAAAAAAGAGAAAGGAGAAAAAAAAAAGCTGATAGGTAAAGCATGATAGCAAACATAAGAATAAAACCAGCAAAAACTAACTCAAGGACGTCTGACACTATGAAGTAACGTATTCTACACTGAAACTAGCAAAACTTCCCACAGTAAGAAACACTTTGGAGGACGGAATGAGCACTCAAGTTCTTAAACAAAGCATTTCCCATATAACCCCAGTTAGGACCACTGTCATACTATTTTAGATACTCTATAAACACAAGTGAAGACAAACACCCTGCACTGAAATCTAACAATCTAAAAAAAGCCAGGACTCTGTGTCTTCAAAAAGCTCCAAACCAACCACACCATCATCATCAAAGAGAGAGGAAAGGCTCTTGGGATGGGGTATATAAACAAAGTACTATTGTGAGCTTTTGGCTACCTTTGATGCAAGAAACTCGACGCTATAAAGGTAGATGGAGGTATCTAAAAATGGTTATGTTCGTGTCAGAACAGTTTAATAAACACCTCTGTCACCAGCAGCCTATGTGTAAGCAAGTTCTACTCGTTATTTTTAGCCTTGTTTCAGAGCAGTTCACTAACTGAGCAATCCTGAAGGCAGTTCCAATGGCCCAGCTGAAGGGATGCCTGTTACTAGTGCACCACTAGGCATTCACCAAACTACTACTTGAAAAGCATCTCTGAAGTTAACTGGAACCTCCAGATGTGAACAGAAAACACACAAAATAAAGCGCATCAGGAACAAGTAAGAGTTGATTACATCCTTCCACTGAAGGTGCCTTTTTTAAGATTTGTGTTCTAGTCCCAGAGGAAACAGGTCCATATGAAAAGCTGGAGGTGAGAGACTTCTGGAATCTGAATTCTTAAATACTATGCAGTCACAGTGGCAGGTGAATGACTCCCCAGAACCAAGAGCAACATCACTACTACTGTCTGTATAGAAAATC